AATTATAAAACTATTCAGAAGAATTGAAAACATTGCAAAATTTAATATTTCGCCTCATCAGTTATGCTTGAACTCCTCTAAATAATCGATAATTTGAAATATTATTTACCATTTTCTTCTCTCAATAGCGAAATTCAATTGAAAGTATGCGTACAATATCTCTTTTTAACAATAACCTCAGCTATATAATCACTTAATGGCAAATTTCAAAATATGTTCGAGCTAAACGAAAATTGCATTTGGTAATTTTTGAAAAGATGAGGATTTATTCGTAAATATAAAAAGAAGTTATTATCAGTTAATCTGTCTAGGCGCTACATTAATACAATGAGACGATGAGTTGTAAAATTTGAAAATGCATACGTCAGATCATAAACGCTTCGTAAAATCAACGCGCCGGCACTCAAAATGAGCCAGCATAAATTATCTTTTGCTAGCACGTGCTATTGTAACTGATCCTAGGCGACAAACTCCTGCTGAGATTTCACACTTTAGCTAAACAAAAGGGCTTTTAGTTTAACAACTTATATTGACCTGATACGTTTGCTAAATAGAATTTAATTGAAAGGCTCGGTAACTGCAGTTGGAGACTTATTGTATTAACTTAGCAACAAGGACCGGATTTGGAATATTTCAAAGTAAGAGTACATAGAACTAATAAATAATTTTTGCATTGAAAATCTCTTATAATAATATAAGCTGAGCCATGAAATAAGTGAAAAATAATGTTTTTATAAGATCAGATAGTAGTAGATAAATTTACTTTGATGAAATTTACTCTGAGGCCCAATTCGAATATTTACGTACTGAACATTTATATGATCATACACATCTAATTTTTTGTTAGAAATAGTTTTTTGAAAAATATTTACTTTCTTTTTTAAACACTCATTTTCTTTGGGGTACTAAATTTACTCCAACTTGTTTAGATAAAAAGCTGTAATTAGCGGATGTTAAATAAGAAGAAATTTTTAGATAAATACTATAGTATATGGTTCAAGTACTTTATTTGGTCAAGTATATATGGTTCAAGTACTTTTAATCTAAAAAATGAAACATTGATAAGTTTAAATCATAGTTTAAATGTTTTAAAAAAAGGACTTAGAGTCAAATTTGTAGCAAGATACAGTCACTGTACATACACCAAAGGTATACTATCCATAGATACATACATACATAGACATACAGCTTATGTAGAAATTTTCTCATCCATTTAGTTGTTTTAACACAAAAATAACGAGATAATTTTTATACCGTACCTATAAACTTTTTATACCTGATGACTACTATACTCGATATTTACCGCCAATTACGATCGAAAAACTCTGTTTGCCCCTTTTCGCTATTGTTTTCAATGTTTCACTCTTGCTACTCCACGGAACTTAAATAAGTTGCACATCATTAGATAAAGAATTAATTAAGAATTAAGAAGATGAGGAATAATTCTGTTGCTTTTAAAGACTGATTTGATGTATCAAAAACCCAAAAAAAAACATCAAAATAAAAAAAATTTTCCGTACACCGTAAACCTAAAAACTCGAGAAAAAAAGCCATTATTTGTGTCTTTTTTTTTAAGAATACGCAGAACAATAAATAGTTATCAGATTTGATCCTTTTTAATTACAATAAATGAGAAAAAAATTTACCATTTTTTATATTTAAATATGTTTTTTACATGTATACGTAAGTTACACCAGACGTGCCTGCACGAAAAAATACATCTGATTTTTTTCAAAGTCTCGTGTCAGATGAAGCCACAAGAAAAGTAAATGTCAATTTGAATTCTCAATAGCATATCGTTAATAAGAAAACAAAGAATTTTTTCATATAATAATAAAAATCTTTTTTCTATTTTTTTACTAACTAAACAAACATTATGAGTCGTGCACTTTTAGATTTTCCAAACTTTTTTTTTTATTTGCAATCGACGGTTAAATGTTATTATTGGCGTTTTTTTGACTTTAGATGTTACGAAATATAATCCAGGATATAATAGTCAGTATCATCTTGATCTTTCCATGTATGTCAACATTACTACTCAACCGCAAGCATTTATGTTATAGCGACGTGCAAAACGACCCTTAATTGATATATTTTTCTATGAAGAAAACTAGATGGTAAATCATTTTGAAATTTCAAGAATACATTAGTAAATGATTTTTCTATACATGAATGTTCAATTTTAAAGCTGAAATTCGAAAAATTTACTAAAAATAAGATTCACTCGAAACTTTTTAAATGTAATATAAACTTCATAAATAAAATTTTAATGTATCAAAATAAAACATAGCAATGATATTTCTCACAGAAAGTAAGTAATAAACTCATCATTTTTTCCAGAAACATTATTAAGGCAAAAAAATAACGTTGAATACTGATTGATAATAAATTAATAACTACCTGAAACATAATATTACAAATTTGTATTTTCTTTAAAGTTATATTATATTCTTAAACAGCTTTTCGTTGCCTTTTAAAAATATTTTTTCTTACAGTCAAATTTATCATCAGTTACATTAGTGTAATAATTAAAAATATTAAATAACTAAGTAGGGAAGGGTGGAGCACAATGGCTTACTTGAGCTGGTTATTTCTTTTTGTGGTTTCTAATCATTAATTTTTTTAATTTTCTGTTTATTTTGAATAAATCAGTCGAAATTTTGCAGAAAATCGAAAAAAAAAACTTTTTTTCCGGGGCATGACGGCCCACTCCCCAAAAAAAATCATATAAAAAAATTAAGTGTAGTTTTTCCCTTTACAATTATAATTTTTATTGTTATTATTATTTTCACAATCATTGATTATATATATGTTTTTATTGTTACTAGAATTTAAATTTGCGCGCGCAAGTGCGCGCTTGACTATAGAGCTTACATATATTTTCATGCTTATGATATATTCGACCAATCACGTTACGAATAGTTTGATGCCACATACATTTCATCTCTATTTTATTATGGGATTAATTAATTATAATTATCAATATCATGGTGAATATTTTCACTGCCTGATTAATTTATAAACAATTTCAATAGGGCTGATAAAATTTCTCATAAAATAAAATTTGAAATTTTGAAATAGTATGTCCTCTCTGATTGGGCCATTTTTAGGGCTACTTCAGCGCCACTCATCGGCATTTTTCATTTAATTTTATCTAGCAATACTGGATGCGGTATCATTAGTTCCTTGGCATCCTTCGAACTATTCACCTCGTAGCAAATAGTGCTTGTGAACTGTTGAATACACGTAAATAAAAATTTCTGTATTTTACTTTCCGATTCTAAATAATTGTTAAAAAGAACGCAACGCAAAATGTCTTCTTCATTCGTCAATTTTGAAAATGAAGAGCTTTTTTGGCATAGCTTTGAATCACTCCATCCGGATGTTTTTTCAACGCTATCATCCCAGTTACTGCTGACTCCTGAAAGCATATCAACAGAAGAACCAATCATCGTGCAGAGTCATAATTCTGCTAGTGATATGGATACATACCAGTCTGTTGAAAAGAGTGAGACGTTGAACAAAAAAACATCGAATTCAAAACGCAGAGCAAGAACAGCGTTCACCAACAATCAACTTCTTCATATGGAGCAAATATATGCGCAGAATAAGTACTTATGTCTTGAAGAAAGGAATAATGTTGCCGAATCACTAGGTCTTACTGAAAAACAGGTATTTACAATAAATATTATTAATAATAGATTTTATTCATTTATTTTTTTAATTTCATTATACTAAATTAATTATTGAATACAAGTTATTAATATATTGTTTTGTTTACAGATCAAAGTGTGGTTTCAAAACCGTCGCATCAAGGATAAAAAAATTGGATCCAAAAAAAGAGTCCAGGACAGCGATCACGTGTTGGGAAGCTACTTAGGAGTATGTGACAAAACGAATATGGTGGTCAACCATGTTCAAGTCTCAACGTACCCGACGTACAACGTTCAATACAACTCGGTTCCTGCTCCAATTGAATGTCTAGTAAAAAACCACGTGCGTCCTACGAACTCCAATAATGGCTCATCAGAAAGCGCTAACTACCCTCAATTTCAAGATTGGAACACCTACAATCAGTACCAGACCAACGTAATTCAATATCAGAACTATGGTAGCAATATCAATTATAATTGTGACAAAAAGTCATCTACTGCGAACAGCAACTTTTACCATTATAGCTCCTGTAACTATCAACAATATTATAACTATAATGAGCAAATACATCAATTTGACGTACAACGCTCGGTTGAAAATAATAATATTATTATTCACAATGATTGTCATTCTATCGCCAATTCAAATAATTTAATGACAGAGTACAATGTTGAGGTAAATTATCCTGATTCACCTCCTCGTTCGATTACTCCAGAAAAATATACTAATATTGACGATTTGATGGCTATTATTGATTCTGAAATGAACGGTACTTTCTAGCCAATAAGTAACGAAAATATTAATTTTTACACGAATTAATAGTACGTTTAAATTTAACAACTTATGTAAATTTGAGATACTTTGTTTTGTAATTCTAGTTTCTGGGATACAAACATAAAATGTTTGTGTTTTTTAAAAAGAAAATTAACTAATAAGATAAAAATTTATTAAATTGTAAATCATAATTTAATAATTATTGATTATAAATAGTTTGTATTATAATAATAATTAATAATAACAAATAACAATTAAATTTGATGAAAATTATCAATGAAACCGAATTTTGTATAAGTGTATCAGTACATTATCTTTAAAACTGTTGTAAACAGTTATTGTGTTTAATATTGACTTTTATAATAAAAATATCCAGAGTATGAACTCTTGTATTTTTTTAATTTTTAATTTCATTATTTAATCCATAAAAACTTTACCCTAAAATTCCTGTTATGTCATATTTTTTAATAAAAATTTTTTGTTTTCTTTAAACATAGTGGTATCGTTGTTAATAGATACCCAGATAGCAATATGACGTCTTTTACAGTTCTCAAAGAACTCTTATTTAAGATTTAGACGTCAGAATTTTGATCAAAATGAGGTCTCCAAGACGTTTTGAGGACGTCCAATGCGCCACCTAAAGAGTGAATCAGGACTTCATAGAGAGAGTTCTTAAAGAGCTCTTTTTTCTGACTTCAAAAAAAGAGTTCTTCAAGAAGTCAGAATTAAGAGCCCTTTCTGACTCCAGAAAAAAATAATTTATAAAGGAGACATTTTCAGTTTTAATTGCATTGTAATTAATATTAAAAAAGAGCTTAAATTGAAGACAATCAAGTACATTAAAATATATTTTCTTCGAAAAAAAAAAAAAAAAAATGGT